ACAACAACAACATCAACTTTAGTCACCTTGTATATAAGCCCACCATTACAAACCAAATGTGTATCACTGCCCAACATACAGTAACAGCATGTTTTTTTTTGTTTTTTTGCATCCGTCAGGCTTTAATTTAACATAACACTATCCTTGGAACTGTGACATTGTTTAAACTTAAGGAAAAAATCGTAGAACTACTCCTCAATAAGCCTTCTTGGTTTTGAGACTACTCGTCCACTTGCAGTTTTCACAGGTAGACTTGAGAGCTCGTTGGGACTGACTTCTCTTTTCCATGTTTGATTGTCCATTTCCTGTTTTTTCTCTGTGTTGTCACACCCATTTTGTAGAGTCACATCTGGATTGTCCGTGTCCTTCCTTGGTGTGCCACTTTGTTCTTTTGACTTCATTAAAAACTTTCTGTTCCTTCTGTACACCTTCCCCTCAGGTGTCTCAACGACGTAAGATCTTGGCTGCTCAGAAAGTCCAGTAACTTCAGCTGGATTCCATGTTCCATCTTGCCATATTCTTACATTGTCGCCAACCTGAAGTTTCTGAAGAGGTCTGGATCTTTGGTCGAAATATTCCTTCTGCTTCTTTTGTCTGCTTTCTAGCAACTGTTGTACTGGGTTAGTTACCATGCGAGGCTTCAACAACTCTGATATAATCGGAAGTCTTGTTCTCAATCTTCGACCCATCAACAGTTGGGCTGGAGATGCTCCAATATCCTCCATGGGTGTGCTTCTCAGATTCAGCAGAGACAAGTAAGGATCTTTCCCATCAGCCTTAACCTTCTTAAGCATATGCTTAACAGTCTGCACCCCTCTTTCAGCCATTCCATTCGACTGTGCATGATGGGGGTTTGGGGTTTTGTGCATGAATTCCAACTCTTTCGCAAAAGCTTGAAATTCACGTGAGCTAAACTGTGGCCCATTGTCTGAAATGACTGTTTCAGGAATTCCATGTCTGGCGAATTGTGACTTCAAATGGGTAATGACTGTTGTACTCCTTGTCTCTGACCTCAACCACTCTACTTCAATAAATTTGGAGTGGTAATCCACTAAGATTAGATACTCCTGTTGGTCAAAGGTAAACAAGTCAACACCTATTTTCTGCCAGGGTCTTTCAGGAACACTGTGTGGATGTAAGGGCTCTTTGGTTTGGCGTTTTTGGTGTGTGCTGCACACTTCACAGTTGTTTATCATCTCCGTTATGCTTTGTGACATTCCAGGCCAAAAGAGCACATCTCTCGCTCTCCGTCTGCAGCTTTCTATGCCTAGGTGACTTTCATGAATTCGCTTCAGCATTTCTGCTCTCATTGATGCTGGAACTATGAGCCGTTCTCCTTTGAACAAAACTCCATCCACAACTGAGATTTCCTCTCTGAAGTTCCAATATCCTTGTATTTCTTTTGCTGCTTGGCTCTTCTTTTCAGGCCAACCATTTAGCACTGTCTCTGTGAGTTTTGTCAGAATCACATCCTCTTTAGTTTCCTTTTTGAATTCATTTAGTTTCTCATTTGACACAGCTAGGTTTGACATTACCATATGCACCTGGCTTCTATTTCTTTATCAGGAGAGCCGGTCTCTGGTAAGTATGCTCTGGATAATGCATCAGCTATATACATCTCCTTACCTGGCTTGTACTGTACGTTCACTTGATATTTTTGTAATCTCATTAACAGTCTCTGTATTCTAGCTGGAGCACTGCTCAACGGCTTTTTCATTATTGCTTCAAGCGGTTTGTGGTCGGATTGTGCGTCTACCTCTCTTCCATAAACATACTGATGAAAACGCTCTGCTCCAAACACAATCGCCAACATCTCCTTCTCTATTTACGCGTAACGCTGTTCTGTTTCAGTCAATGCACGTGATGCATAAGCCACTGGCTTGTCGTCTTGAAGTAGATCAGCACCCAGTCCACTTTTAGATGCATCGACAGAAAGTGTTACTGGTAACCTGACATCATAGTATCTGAGCAAGGGGGCCTCAGTGAGCATTGTTTTCAATTTGCTGAATGCGCGCTGATGTTCCTCCTCCCACGGGCAACGTCATCTCTAGTAAGTACACGCAATGGCTCAGTATGTTGTGACATGTTTGGGATGAACTTTGCGAGGTAAGTGACCATGCCTAGAAATCTCTCCACATCCTTTTTGCATTCAGGAGTGGGCATTTTTCTGACAGGCTCAATTTTGGTCTGATCTGGTTTCAAACCATCCTTTGCGAAGATGTGACCGAGATATTTGATTTCCTCTAAGCCTATCTTGCATTTCTCTTTATTCAACTTGAAGTTCTTGACTCTTGCTCTCTCTAACACTTGCCTCAGTCTGTAATCATGCTGCGCTTTTGTTTCTCCCCAGATCAAAAGATCATCAATATGTCTCAACACCTTCAATTCCCTCAAAAAGTTGCTTCACTGTCCTGTGAAAAACTTCAGGAGCAGAGTTGAGCCCAAATGGGAGATGGAGGAATCTGAAGCGGCCAAAAGGAGTGTTGAATGTACAGAGGCGAGAGCTGGCTTCATCTAATTTGAGTTGCCAAAAACCTGAACTTGCATCCAACACTGTAAAGTATTTGGCTTTTGAGAGTCTGCTAGTTATTTCCTCTACCGTTGGTAGCTGGTAGTGTTCTCTCATTACCGCTGTGTTGAGATCTCGGGGGTCTAAACATATTCTTAATTTCCCATTAGACTTTTCCACAATCACAATGGGGTTGACCCACTGTGTGGGCTCTTCAATTCTTGCTACTTTCATTTTTTCCATTCTGTTCAGTTCTGTTTTCAGGTTTTATCTAAGGGCATCTGGAATTTTTCTAGGTGGATGAACTCTCGGAACCACATTTTCATCTATTCGGACGGATTGTGTGCTCGCCATCCAGGCAACCTATGCCTTCAAACACATCAGCATATTCTGTGAAGATATCCATTTTGTCACTTTTGCTCAATTCCATCACTCTCTGTATGAGCCCCATTTTGTCACATGCATTAATTCCTAATATTGGTTTAGTATCTGACTTCACAACAATGAATTCAAGTACATGAGTTTTCTTTTTGTATTTCACTGTCCAGTTACACTTTCCTTTCACTGGTATTTTGTCTCCGGTGTAAGTTGACAGTTTCACATTTGTTCTTTTTTCCAATTCTTTGCAGCAGGCTGTACGGGATTACATTGGCTTGTGCACCAGTATCTAGTGAAATTTTACATGTTTGTGCTCCAATTTTAAGTCAACTGTCCATTCATCTGTCCCTATCTGCGTTTGCACTGCACCAACGAACAGACTAGGTCTCTGATCTGTGACGTCATCACAACCGCATGCACTTTCTTCGATTTACACATCTTAGCAAAGTGGTTCATTTTCTCACAGTTTGCCATATGCGGGGCAATTGCGTGATGCATGCTCCGTTCCAAATCTTTTGCAATTAAAAGTGCTTGGTTTGTCTTTTTCATTCGGTTTGTATTTATTTCGTTGCTCGTTTTTGCGTGTCTGCTCATGTTTCACTGCATCGACGTGTTTGCTTTCACGTGCAGAGGCTTGTGCGTTGTGATCCTCGTCATGCATTTGCTTCATCTGAGCTTTTGTCATTTCTGACGCGATACACAGTTGGGTAGTTTTTTCGAGACTAATGTCAACTTCTCTTAAAAGTCTCTCCCTCATGGCATCTGACGTGATTCCACAGACAACTCGATCTCTTATAAGAGATTCTTGCAACAGTCCAAACTCGCACGACTTCGCTTTTAGCTTTAGTTCTGTGATGTATTGGCTAATGGGCGTGTTCCCTTGCACACACGTGAAAAACTTATACCTCTCATAGGTTATGTTCTTTTTCGGGTTACAGTACTCTTCAAATTTCTCCATTATTTTCGTCAGACTATGTTTATCATCGTCTTCTTCGAACGTGAAGGTATTGTACACTTCAACCGCTTCTTCGCCGGCTACATGAAGAAATAGTGAGGACTTTACCTTGGCTGGCTTGCTAGCGCTTCCAGTCGCGTCTAGATAAGTTACAGCTCAAATCTTTGCCGAAATCTCCTCCAGTTTTCCAACAAATTACCGTGCAGTAGATCAAGTCCTGCAGGTGGCTTCAATCCTTCCATTTTCGTTACTTTTTTGTCGCTTTATCTCCTTTAGTACTTTACTTCTGACACCATGTTTTGATGTGCGGTAAGGAGAAGACACGAGACATGTTTTAGGTTTTAGCCATCAACGTTTTATCTGCGTTCACCCCGCCCCGTAACCCCAACATTACATTTGTGCTCCCGGCTGGCAATAGGTGACATGTATTACATATCATGACAATAGCTACAAAAGAGAATGAAAAAATTGACACCCCTTGGTTTCCTGTCCTGTGTGTGGAGAGGTTCTAATCACGGTGGCCACCTGCAAACCAGTGGCCCTTGAATCGTCACCACCTTTCGTCCCCTATAGAGACTGCCCTGGCTGTGGTATAGAAGAATAGGCTACTTAAAGGGGTTTTTTTCTTTTCTTTTTTTCTGATCTGAAAAACGATCCTATCCGTAACTCAAAAAACATTATGGTCTGATGAACCGCGAGTTTTATGATCCATTGCGCCCCTAAGAAATATTATGGCAAGTGCATTATGAAAGGCAGTCGATGAAAGTTATTTAGATGCAAATTAAGGTTAAACAGTTATTGTGTGATTTCGTTTATTGTGCTTTGTCAACTTGAAGCATGAATTTGAGAAAAAATGTTTTGAAGAAAATGTACCACACACTTTTGTCATTGATATAGCTAAAAGATTGTAAAAGCTTTCAGTTCACCCTGCCTATTTGTAATTGAAAAGTCAAATTAAGCTTGATTAATGATATACTGTGACTGATGTAAAATAAATAACAGCATCAAGAATATGCTCCCATGAGACTCCCATGTGTTTTGCATCATTTTAAATTTTAGTCATAGTGTTTATGCAAAAAAAAAAAAAAAACACACATAAGAAATTATTGCTGACAGCACTTTTATTTTCAGAGACACACAAAAACACAACAGTGAGTGTCTTTCAATGCTTTTAAAATAACACTCATTTCCTTGTTCTTTGTCATATCACAAATGATGTAAACACTCGTTTTGAATTAAATGTGTGCATGTGTTTGAATACTGTCTCACAGAGCAGAATGCTGTGTTTAGTAAGTACGGTGTGAAGTGGTGGTGGTTTGCTTTATTTGGATGGTTGGTCCACCAGTTGAGATGGTCTGGGAACCTGATGAGCCAGAGTGAGATCCACCAGAGAAAGAGATAGATCCACCTGAAAGGCAAAATCATTAATGTCATTAATGTCTTAATGCTTAAAATCATTAATGCTTAATGTAAAACATGCCTAAAACTGACCACCATATACAAAGATAGATTTCAATTACCTGGTATCTGAGTCCTGGAGGAGTAGGAGGAAGAAAAAAAAGAACTTGTGAACCTATTCCAGGACAAGATCATGTAATTAACTGACTTTAAAGGGACACTCCACCCATTTGCATTAAGCTTTCCATTGTTAGAAACCCAGTCATACTATTGAATGGTCGTGCAACACTCTCTCATTTTCCCCTGAGACGAGAGAAATCTGCTATTTACCTTTTTCACTTCCTCCTACAATGACGCAAAAATCGTCATTTTACGTCATTGTAGGAGGAAGTGTAAGAGGGGGGGATTTCTGTAAAGACTACAAGCACTAGTTCCCACCCTTTCAAACCCGCCCATAGGGGGTTAGACCTAATGCGCTAACAGAGCTATCACAGATCAGTGGGTGGGACTTCACTTGTAGATACTGAAATCAATATCAGCCATCTTGTTTATAAGCTAAGCTAACAAGCGCTGTGGAGATAGGAAGTTACGACAATGACGGAAGAAACTAAACATGATATGGAAGTAGAGGATTTTGAAATTTTGCTGCTCGAATCCGCTGTTCGTGGCTATCTTTACGAGCCGCAATATAGTGAAGAGCAGCTGAGGCTGATGGAGGAACAGGAGGCGGCCGCCTGTCGTGGATGAGGAGCCCGGACTGGGTCGAGCTGGGCGGACTGCTGGTGCCTGTGCTCTCGCTGTGCGCTACGGACACAGATCGAGTCCGTCTGCTGCAGAGAATTTCAACGATAGCAATTTCTCCTGGACGAAATCTCTGAATCAGACGAGCACACGGACGTTTGTGTTGTGATGTGAACCATCCTAGTGTCGCACCGCATATGTTCTGACGGAACATCCAGGTATCATGCAATAATTCACCATATAGAAAGAAATACAAACGAGGAGTAATTCGCTAATGAGTTTGCCAATGTAACGGGGTTCGTTGTTGTGGGAAGAAGGAGGCGGGAACCGGCGCACATTTAAACATTTTAATAGTAAAATAAACAAATACAAAACAAAAGTATAAGCCAGCTGGCCACACACAACAGAAACAAAACATAAAATCAGGCCTGTTCCTTTTGTGCTTCCGCTCCTCCGTGAGAGATATGAGACCGCTGCGTCTCACAGGTGTCATTCATTATCACTCGCGCCGTCCTCTCACGTCCCTCGCCCTGCTCGCCACAGCCAACTAACTAGACACTTTGTGTGAAATGAATTTAAAAACTCTTTTGGCAGCTAGCCTTGTAGACGGATTTCTAGTTTCGGATTTTCAAACAGAGAGTGATTTCTCTGTTTGCGCTGTTCTAGATTAGTGGGAGTGGCTTGCGGAGCTGTGCAACGTGGTGCATTGTGGGAGTTGTTGTCTTACATACAAATGCGCCCTAAAGTTATTTTCTGTCTTTTCTCGGTCAAGAGGGCACCAAATGCAAAATTTCTTTTACATTTCGACTACATATATAACCCACTTTCAATAAAGATTAATGTTGAAATGGGTGGAGTGACCCTTTAACTCACATCAACTTTTATACATAAATGAACTTACTTAATGTCCTGATTTTCCAGGAGGCTTCTGTAGGTGGCGATCTCCTGCTCCAGACGGCTCTTGATGTCCAGCAACATGATGTAATCTCGTCCCTGTTGCTCAATGCTAGCCCGCATTTGACTCAGCTCGGACTCCAACATGTTGATTTGGTTCTGGTAGCTTGCTAGCATAGAGCTGTACCTGTTCTCTGTGTCTGCCAGTGAGTTCTCCAGTGCCGCTTTCTGTTTGAGTAATGAGAACAAGCACAAAGATCTTAATTAAGGATACTTGGCCATAAAACTGCCTTTGGTTCAGATAATGTATCTAATGTCTCTCACTCTACATTCCACTTGTTTCTCACCATGCTGAGTTGAGACTGTAGCTCGATCTCCAGACCCTGCAAAGTGCGTCGCAGATCTGTGATCTGTGTCTTGGTTGTTTGAATGATTTCTGTGCTCTGGGTCACCTCTTTGGTCAATCCTGCCGTCTAAAAGAAAGACAGAATCACACAATATGAATTCAAGTACTGAATATCATAATCTAAGATATATTGTTTTACCACAGTACCACTGCTATAAGACACCAGCTGGAATATGTGGTTTATTCTTCAATAAAGTCAGTTTTTCGGTATGTATAACGGTAGAATTCCCAACCAAAGAATTTAAAGAGACAGACGAGGTCTTACCTGGTTTTTAAACCAGTCTTCCTGTTCCCTGCGGTGTTTCTGTATGATGGTCTCGTAATGAGAACGAATCTCGTCCAGAACCTTGTTCAGGTCTTGCTGAGGAGCAGCATCAACCTCTACATTCACTGTGCCTGTCAGCTGACACCTCAGTGCTGCCAGCTCCTGAAATGTCATAATATAATATAATTAATATAATATAATGGTCCAAACTTTCAGGATCAGTCATAGATAGATGATTCTGTCAGTAAGCTACTACAAACCTCCTGGTGGTTTTTCTTCATAAACTCCAGCTCTTCCTGCAGATTCCTGATCTGCATCTCCAGGTCGGCCTTTGCCCGATGTGTCTGTTCCAGCAAGCGACTCAGGTTAGCGATGTCGGACTCCACGCACTGGCGCATCACCATCTCATGCTCATATCTGATTGGTGGAAAGGTCACACAGGGAATTAAACTCACCGATCAAAGTTTAAACATGACGAGTATCGTATATATAGGCCTACACACACTACCGTTAAAAATTGTGGGGTCGGTATGATATTTTAAATGTTTTTGAAAGTCTCATGCTCACCAATGTTGCATTTATTGGATAAAACATACAGTAAAACAGTAATAATGTAAAATATTATTACAAATGCAATTTTTTCCTGTAATGTCAAAGCTGAATTTTCAGCATCATAAGTCTTCAGTGTCACATGATCGTTCAGAAATCATTCTAATACACTGATTTGGTGCTCAACTTAAGACATATTCTTATTCTTATTATTCTTATTATCAATGTTGAAAACAGTTGTGCTGCTTAATATTTATGTCGAATCTGTAATACATTACAACAACAAAAAAATCTTTATAACCCCAAACTTTTGAATGGCATAGATAAACACTGTGAAGCTATTGCATTTTAGGCATCAACAGTTATGTCTAAGTTAGTGGTCAACACTGTTTAACTTACTTCAGCCTGAAGTCATCAGCAGCCAGTTTAGAGTTGTCGATCTGCAGAAGGATGTTGGCGTTGTGGATGGTAGCATTTTTAATCTGAAAGGTAGAATATTGATATATAAATTTAATACATTAGAACATATATAAATCTGGAGCATTGCTGTAGATCATCAGAACCGGAAGTGATTATCTGCGTCTGCTTTTCAGCTGCTGTATGCAAAGAAATGTCAGTACACTAGAATTTGCTATATATGTCATTCATTTAGAGATCACTGTACCTTGTCCTTCAGGTCCTTGATGGTGTTCCAGTAGGCGCTGTAGTCCCTCTGAGCGATCGGCCCCTTCTTCTCATAGTACTCGCGGATCTGCCTCTCCAGAATGGCATTTGCAGCCTCCAGGGAGCGCACCTTCTCCAGGTAGGATGCCAGACGGTCGTTCAGGTTCTGCATGGTGGCCTTCTCATTCAGCTGGTGGTCCTTTATTACGCAGCCTCCTGGTCCAAATCCTCCACCAAATCCTCCACCATATCCTCCACCGTGTCCTCCGCCAAAACCGTGTCCTCCGCCAAAACCGTGTCCTCCACCAAAACCGTGTCCTCCGCCAAAACCATGTCCTCCGCCAAAACCGTGTCCTCCACCGTATCCTCCACCGTATCCTCCACCGCATCCAATTCTGGAATGCAGCAAGGAGGAAGAGATGCGGGTGCTTCCACCATGACCACCTCCATGCACGCTGAAGGCTTTATGTGGGATGGCTGACGAACTGCTCCGACTCTTGGTGATAATGGACTTTGAGGTCACAGTCTTGGGACCTTTGGAGGACATCGTGCGAACAGAGACCGACATAGTTGAATGGATACAGAGATGAGATGAACCCAGAGAGGACACTGAAGGAAACCGTTAGAGTTGTCCTGGCGAGGATGGCACGTTTGAGCCCAGCTCTGACCTCTTATAGAGATGGAGATCCAGGGTGGCTCCAGCACTTTGTGGGTGGGTGAGGGATGTAAGGTGTGTGTGAGAGAGTGTGTTTGTGCCAGACCCAGCTGTCACCACCAGCAGAGTTGAAACTAGTGTTTAGGCTCCACCCTAGTGAGGGAACTGCAAAAGAATTTCATACTCCTAGATGTACTCACCCTCCAGACTACAATGGAGGGAGTGCAATAAGACAACTATAGGCTTTCGACACACACTGTGTATACAAGTTTTATGCATGTGTGTGTGTTTATGAGCGTGTTTGTAAGTGTTTTGTGCGAGTGGAGGAAATCTCTTTGACAGTTAGGGGCAGAAAAAAGAGGCTGAGCCGGTCAAGCGAGGATAGAGATTTTATAAATTCACCATTTTAATAATGATAAAGAGGGATTTAGCTGACAGGTAACTCCCTGAGGCGATGTGAGATCATCTGAGACAGTTTCACCACCCTTTTACAGGTCATACGAATCTGCTTGAGTACTTGTGTGCCCAGTTTGTTTATTTTATTGTATTTTATTTTATTTAAGGCTTTTATTTTATTATTTTAGGCTATTTTAGGCTATTTTATGGTGCATGTGAGCTGGGGTGTAAAAAGAACTCCGAAAATGGACTGAACTTGGGGTATTTACCTATGGGTACATTGTCAATATTTTTTATCAAAGTATTGACACAAAAACATGAGTAAAAAGTACAAAAGTTTACACTTTTAACTCAAGTAATTAAAACTAAAGAGTAAACTTTTTTTCTTTATAAAGAACACATGTGTGCATGTTTGTCTGTCTTGAGCATTGGTTATAATTAAACACAATGCTTTAGGTAAAAACGGTGGGGAATAATGAGAAATATTGTCTTATATGGGAGAATCACAAAGTTGTGGTTAATAACATTTAATCATTCTTTTATTAATATTAATTTATTTTTTATTTTTATATTTTACATATTTTTACTAAAATTTTGTAAAAACGTGTAAAAAAAGTAATTTTGAGATTTGGGGAGTAATCTGTTTTTATACACTAGAGGGCGCTGTGAGCCACTAGATTCAGTAGCAGCGCTGATTCTCGCAGCTCTCGCCGGGTGCAGTGGCGCACGCCTGTAATCCAAGCTACTGGGAGGCTGAGGCTGGAGGATCGCTTGAGCTCAGGGGTTCTGGACTGGAGTGGACTATGTCGATCGGGTGTCCGCACTAAGTTCGGTATCGATATGGTCAGAGCCGGATTATCCATAAGGGCACTTGGGCCAGTGCCCAGGGGCACCAACCATTCACAACCACTAGGGGGGCACCACATGAGTCAAGCTTTAAAAATATTTTTCGTAAATTGTTATATTATTAACTTGAAATTCTTGACAGACCATAAATAAATCGTTTATGAACACTAATTTAACAATAATAATAACAATAATGATTTAATAATAAATTATAAATAAATAAAGATTACATGACCACTATCACTCCCCCCTCCCCAATCTGTCAGAGTTGCGTTGGTCCACAACAAATACGTGCAAATGTGTCATTTTTTTAACGGCTACAAAAAAATGAATTAAAATCAAAACTGGACAGACGTCAGTGGTTGAGTGGTTTTGCAAAAAGAAAGTTAAAGAAAGACAAGGACGCTAGACGTAGCTACAATTTACAATGTTCCAGGTATCGAAAGATTTTTTGTGAGAACATCACGGGAATTGCTATCACTAGCAGCGCTGAGTCTGACGAAGCCGGAGCTAACTGTGGAGACGGTAACAAAGAAATGGACTTTGGGGATGTAGTTGACACCTTTGCTTGCGCAAAATCAAGGAAGGAGCAGTTCTGCTAAACTTAATACATGAAAACGTTTTACCAGATTTAGTGCTACACTTATTGTCTCTTATTTGTTCCTCACTAAATAAGGTTTTTTTTTTCACTAAATGTTCGATTTTATACAATTATTGTGCACTTGTGATTTTTCTAGACTAAATTTTACTGCTGAGTTACCCACTAATCTAGTTTATATAATAGAATTTTTGTCATAGGTTATGATCATATTTTTTTTTATTTGTTGTTTTTCTTTATAATGAAGTTGTCTGTATTAAGTAGATTATGTTTAACAGAAAATAGTGATTATCAGTTCAACACACAGAGTTATAGAAATTCTACTTGATTTTTTTTTTTTTTTAACTGCGCTGGTATCGGATCGGTATAATTCAATACTAAGAATTTTTGGTATCGGATTGGATCGGTTCAGAAGAAATGGTATCGGGACATCCCTAATATTTTCTGGTAGGCTATATCTAAGTTACCCAGGAGCTCTGTTGACATAGGCTTAGCTAACGTTAGCTACAGCTTGATGAATTGAGTTGAACACAGCAGGAGAGAACGCAACATTAGCCAGCTAGCTAAAGCTCTGGTGGGAAATTATTAGCTAACGCTACGGAGGCCATAATATTTTTGACTCATGGCTGAAGTTAAGTTTCTCCAACTCTCCCCAGGTTGGCAAAAAAAATGCATCTCAAAATGCATCAGATTGATGCTATAAAATATGGAATATTTAAAAAATTTCTTCCGGGGGGGCATGCCCCCGGACCCCCCTAGAGGGGTAATATCCTTCTCACCTTTTTCACCCCTGACCCCTTTTCATGCCTGTAGAGGTAAGACACCTGATAGATTTATTATTATTTTTGGGCAAACGTGAATTGACGCTGTCAATTAATTTATGTACATTTTTAATTGACACATTTAAATATAGGGGGCCTTTTGAGGTATAGTGCCCAGGGGCACCACACTGTCTTAATACGGCCCTGGATATGGTGCTTCTGGGGGAGCCCGGGACCACCAGGTCGCCTAAGGAGGGGTGAACCGGCCCAGGTCGGAGACGGAGCAGGTCAAAGTCCCCGTGTCGATCAGTAGTGGGATCGCGCCTGTGAATAGACACTGCAGTGCATCCTGAGCAACACAGCGAGACTCAGACTTTTGTGTGCATATTTACCTTTTTGTTTTCATGTAAACTTATCATTATTTCTGTGTTAGTTTACATTCCACGGTAGGCTAAAATGATAGGCTACTTCTAATGTTAGACGGCAGCATTTAATGATGAAAGTTTAAAGTCGCAATTTAGAAAGATGATTTCAGGTTTGCAGAACGTTTCAGTTATGAAAGAGGACTGAATAATTACAACTTTGATGTGTAAGTTCAAAGCAACCTGTGGCACTGGCAACTACCAGAGCAGAAAAAAAACCTAACAGAGCAGGCAACAAAATAAAATAAAAAGAGCCTCCATTGTCTACTCCGTCCGTATAAGGACAGACTTTTAGTAGCTACAACCTGGTGTTAGGAGCATAAAACGTAACCTCTGACCAATAAATAAATTGTTTTGTGATGTATACCGCTCTGCTCTTTTGCCCTATTTTTACATACAGGTAGCTTTTAAAAACAATAGAGAAATGTGCACACATATAATCCCCCATGGTTACATATTTCCATTATCTTACTCTGTCACAGTGTATAATTAAAATACATTGCCTGTGTATATAATGCTTGAATAAAACATGTTGAGTGTTTGATGCAGATACAGATCACATATAAGATGAGGGTCATCTGAATATAAATTATTCTCCCTGCAAGACACACACACACACACACACAAATTAGTCTTCTGTTTTTTATTATAAAGTTTCATGACTGTTATGTACATATGTTAAAATATATATTGTGATATTTAAAAAAAATATTTTGTCAGAATGCAGCACTACTTTTGAAAGGCCGTCTATATAGATACACTGTCCTAATATGTGGACAGTTTTATAGTTTTATCTTAAGATTGCATTTTTGCAATATCACTTTTTTTCATCTTTTTGAATGTCTTTCAAAAAAGTTTAAATCATGCAGTCCACAAAATTTTCAGTTGTCGATATCACGTCTCTCGTTTCCTTACCATCTGGCCATGAGAAAGAATCAACATTCAACGTTCAAGTGTGATACATTGTTTCCTGTGATTGTGATTCCAGTACAAATGCATTATGCCACATTAACAAGTGTAAACGAACCATTTCTACCGAGATAAAGGTAACAGCTCTTTCCAGTTATTATAAACTTTTTGCAACATGCAAAGAACTGAAACAGTGAAAACTGAAAGAAAACAGAAACAGTGAAAACCATCGCTGGACAGGACTTTTGAAGTTTTCAGATGTAAGATTTCATTATATTGATGTTAATGATGTAATGAAGTTTACTGTAAGAAAGCAAGTAGTGATTTACCAAAATCACAGTGAACACACTGAGCAATACAACACTAGCACTTCAGATTTTTTGGGTGAAAGTGCAGTAGCACACCCAGCCGAAACCCCTAAGCATAATTGCAGCAGCTCGTTTTAGGCTTTCTTGACGGATGATAAAACAATTTTAACTCAACCGCACTGGAGCAAATTAAACATTTAAATCTCAGCATGCCCTGTCAATCAGCATCTGAGCAATAATAATGCCACTCCTATGTCTGCCAATGAGTCGGCTTTTCATGTATAGACATAGTTCCATAAGTTAGTTTTGTAATATCTCTACAACTCTTTTGTTATTGTCTCTCTCTTTATGAAGATTACAGGTCATTAAATGACTTGTTACATCCTGCATATCACATAAATGTAAGTGTATAACAAATTTGTGGTTAATCGTAGCCAAATAATGCAAATGAAGTGCATTCCAAATTGCATTTTCATTTATCCAATAAATGTGTGTTAAACATAAAGGCTACATTATGGTCTCTGGGTTTAATCTCTTTCTGTGCATATGTTTTGTGCATATTCCTCATTTTCTTTTATCCAGTTTACACAATTGCAATTGTTCATGAGGGTCGAAGGTTTTTGCAGATAAAGAGGAAGTCAATGGCCAGCCAGCAATGTTTGACCTTCACTTCACCACTTTTGTGATGGATCTGTTGCCAGGCAACTTAAACAATATTGTTTTAAGCCTGTTATGGAAGGAACCCATG